TTACCGTGGGGACTCTTGAAATTCATATGGGAAATCCAGGGAGAGCATTTCCATTAATTGTTTTCTTTATACCCCACTCTTTTCAGTCATTCTGGTGTGAACGGTATCTCCCGCATACAAATGGCCCCGAATATTTGGTTATGACCTGAGCAGCTGAATTCTACAGACATTGCACACAGCTCCCACCGAAGGAGGCAGCTCCTACTCCCCCAAGATGGGCGTATATCCCTTGAGCAGCGGGCCAGGACTCTCCCACAGCTCTAGGTATGTGGTGGACTGCGAGAGGGCGAGGGCACACCCAGGAGTCACTCGCTATATGGCATTAGCCAGCTGCACGCCCTCAAGGTGGCTGCACTTTTCACTCTTCTATGCAGCAGACTAACCTAGAGGGGAAACAAAACGAAAGTAACATCCGAGGAGAGCAGCTGTGATTCTTGTTGGCAACACTTTGTTTTACTCCCTCTCCTCCCACTGCAAGTAGGCTAACAATTCGACATGGAAGACGAAGCACCCTGCATTGCTAAGTGCACCCCACGCTGCCTCAGTGTGACATTGGTCAGTCATCATGAACGCTACGCTGCTTTTCTGTTTGCAGGTTCTGGTTACACGTTCATTAGAGGACAGGCACTCGCGAGACAGCCAGAGAAGAAATAAGTATTTCAGAAAAAGTTATCAAAAACTAAAGACTTTTGATAACTCATCCTAATGAGACACCAGTAGCTGTCTGATTTCAGAGTGTAGATGCTCACATCTTTCTAAAAGTAAAGTTTCCTCAAGGTGTCTAAATTGGGCATAAGCACAAAACCAATCAAAATACCCACAAAGCAACAAAAACAAACAAACAAACAAACAAATCAAAGTCCCTCCTCAGTTCAAAGGATACCTGTACCACCTATTTAAAGGCGCAGTCTTCGCTTTATGTTCCTAACTCCTTAATTTCAGAGAAGATGAGTCAATACAAAAACACATGTGCTATCTTATCACTTCACTCATTATGTTTCTGAAGTGTTCACCTTTCTGCTCATCTTCTATATAAGCGCCTATTTTGAAGGGCTTTTCCTTGTGCTTAATGAAACAGGCTGCGGTGGGCAGGGGGGAAGCGTGCAAAGCCTTTCAGCGTGTGAAGATGTGGAAGTTTCCCAGCACTCCTCCTAGCACAAACAGGCAAAGGGAAGGAAAATCAAGTCCTACCCATAAATGCTAACAGGTTTGTAATCCTATAGCATTCATCAAATACATGAGGCAGGAGTTCCCATCTAATTTCTCGGGTATTTCATGTATTGCCCTTCTAAGGAAACCAATCTCTACACAAAGCAAATGATGAAAACAATACTGTCGTGCACACTATAGGCCATCATTCCCTAAAGAGGCTATAAATAGCCATGGATACCATAAATAGGAATCAGCACAGGGTGCTGCTGCAGGGATAAGATTACATTGGTGGAAAGCGGGAAGGCTCACACCCACAGTGTCTGATACCTTGAGGTATTCTAACATCTTCTGCAGAAACCCTTTCAGATCTATGGTTCCTACCCCTCCCTCTATGAAAGCTTATTTCAACTTTAATTTCATCTAGTCCAAATAACTTTCTAATAAAGGAAAACTGGAGAGAAAAGCAGTTGCAGCATAAGCTTATGTCTATTTCTACGAACAAACAAACAGTACATGAACCAATAAAAGCTGCACTATATTGCGATCACTGCTAATACCTTGATCTTAAGCTCACAATTTCCTCAACTTAGAATTCCTATTTTATCTGATGAGCAGTTTGTAACAATGTCCAACAATTTCCCAAACATTATAAAATACTTTAGGAACACCAGATGTCCTGTCAGACTGAAGGCTTCCTTTGTATAGCTGGAGTTGGAAGCTTTTTGGACAGTAATATCTGACAAAACCGTGCCTTCTTGTAGAGAGAACAAACACAGTGCGGTATGTCCTATTTCATTAGGGTGGAGAAATTTTACACAACGCTTCCTAGTTCTTATAACAACCTCACTAACAACAACAATTTAAAAAAAATTATCTTGATATCTAATTTGTTGAGCCGTCTAACTTCATTACTAAAACCTTGGATTCTTGTCTGCATTGGCTAAAGATGTGGCTGACATTCTTAGCCACTAACAAACTGTACTCTGTACTCCTGCCTCTGACCAGAGCGCTGGGTGCGCGGGGCTGAGGCAGAGAAGATCAGGAAGGACTTTAATGCATCTATATATAGTAGGCTGCTCAACCACTGCTAACCGTTTCGTAGTGTCGTAATATCTTGCTGCATTTCCTGAACTCCTGAATACGTTGAAAAGCTCCGAACCGTCAAAAGTGAATCAGAGAAATGCCCTGTGAAAACGCTTACTATTTATTTAGGTAGAACAGTCAACATTGACCCATCAAATGGGCCAAGCATTTCCTCTGGCTCCATGGGCTTCAACAGCTTGCTTTTACCATGATCCTGCTTGAATCTTATAACGCATCTTGAAGATGTAAGGATAAAGGAATTAAGACTGCCTACTTTCCTGTACCCACACAGTCTCAGCCCAGGTAGAAGAGTGAACAACAGCGCAGATCAGACTACAGAAGACTTAGCAAGTGTAATAGGAACAGGCTTTGCCCAACTGGACAGAGTCAGTAATAGGGTGTAGTCAGTAACTATAAAAGGTGGCTAAAAGCAAAAGAATCGTGCCAGCTGAAAAGAAGCCAGGAAGCAAAATTAGCCAACTAACTACTACTCACTGAACGACAGGAAAGACTTCCAGTTTTCACAATGGACTGGAAAGTGGTTTACATCATGGCAACGTGAAAAGAAGATCTTCAGACACAACTGGAAATTACAGACCACTAATAGTTCAGCTCTGGGAGAAAAGTCTTCAAACACATTTTAAGAAACCCTCTTGGGAGAGCATTCAAAATATCCAAAGTAGCGGATATACCTAGAGCATTCTCACAAAAGTGAGACCGTGCCTGGATTCACAGGCATGCCGTACTGTCATAGTTACTACTGCCAGGATCACCAAGGGAGCCAACGTTCTTATGCTGGGGTTGCTCAGAAGTTCTCTGACCGTTTTTAAGCTGAAAATGAGCCGTGTAACAAGCAGCATATCTAGTACAATGAACTCCCCGATGGGGTGCTAACCAAGAGGAGTTTTTACATGTATAATATTCAATTGAAAGGATATTAGAAGTCTGCGGCAAAGACAGACTTTAGTAATAAGACTTGCAGGTTCGTTCCAGCTCAGAGGCACGGATACGGACATGCAGACCACATTCCCCAGATGTTCTGTATCAGCTCACAGAAAGGGAATTTATTAGCAAAACCAAAATTGTGGCAGGATCCAAACATAAGAAAGCCAAAAAAACCCACACGACATTGTTTACTCTGTATGGCAATTCTTTAATGGCAGTTAAGATTTTACCCAGGAAAAAAATTCGTTAAGGAACGGTCTGGTTTCTTGCAGGAGAAGAGCCCTCTTAAAACATGGCAGCAATCTAGGAAGTACATACCATTTTCTAACAGTGAGAAGCTGGATGTTGTACAGGACAGATCATACCTTTGCATCAGTAGGATCTTTCAGCTAGGTATGGTTATGCACATGAATTAGCACAACACAATTAACAAACTTGTGGATATTCTTTCCCCTCTAGGAAATTTAAATTCAAAGAATATCTACAAGCTAGCTGCAAATACAGTGGTGTGGAGGAGTGGGAAAGGTTGGTGATCTGTGATCAGCACTCCCCTAGCTCTCTAGAGCACCAGTCAGGCTGAATTCAGAGCGCTCCCAGAAACATTGCACTATGTTCAGCTGTTTGCTCTCACGTCTTTTACTCAACTGGTAGACACAAATACTTCTCTCCCCTCGTATCCACTCTCATTTGAAACAAAAAGCTGTACCTCTTCCAGAGTTGCAAGGGATACAGCAAGTTATCCCTTGAGAATCGTCTGTGAGCACATGAAGGATGCTACAAGGAAAGAGATGCTTGACTCACTGAAGCAGACAAATCTTCTGAAGGACTAATGAAAGCTTGACAAGATTTTATCTGAAATAGCTCTCAATTCCTACATACCTTTTCAGAGAAAGCAACTCCCAAACCACACCAAACAATTTAAGTCCATGAGGAGGGGCAATGAGGGAGTGCTTCCTCCTCTCCATTTAAGTATTGGCATCTAATCCTAGTCCTTTACGTTCGAATTCTTCTAGTTCCTCTCAAACCCTTAAAAGGTGCAATAATTTGTGAACACAAAAAAGCACAGACAGGAATTTGAGAAGCTAAGAGATGTCAAAAACAAAAGACAGAACTGTGAAAGGGATGGAGCTGATCTTCAATACACAGTACTCATCCATAACATCAAAACCCTCTCAAAGTTCACTATGCAATGTATTGGCTTCTAACAGTTTGTGTAACATTTAAAGGGGGGAGGGGGGAAGCATACAACTGAACAGATTAAACTACACAATAATTATTTTCAGATGGACCAAAGACATTGGCTTTAAGACCGAGGGGAACTCTTGGATGTGTCAAAACACATCCGATCCAGACAACTGTTTTCCACCTGCATTAACTGCAACCTGTAGAAGGCAGGGGGAATAGGGGGACAGGGAAATGTCAGTCCCTGGCACAATCTACACAGACTATTAAAGCCACATGAGTACTTCTATTAACACGCAACATCCCACAATATCTTACCGAATTATGTAGTAGAGCTGAGATTTGTTTCCAGTTAAATCAATGCTAACTTTGCCCTTAGTTTGAGGAAGAAAAAATCCCAAACATTTTGAAACACTTCTTGAAGAAGAAAACACTTGGCTAAGTTCTGATCTCCTAGATACATGCACAAATGCTGCTCTTAGCTGAGAAACTGTGTATATGACTGGTGGCATATTTCTGCAAAACATTTACATGTTTTATTTTTCAATGAGCTCACTCAAAACGGCCTCTTTCAAAAGCTTATGTAGGCTACAGTTACCTGGAATACATTTCTAAACAAGCACGCAGGTGTACTATACCTTCTCTATGGACATCGGGAAGCATGTCAGCGGGATGTTGCACCACAGCTGATCTCTTGTACACCATGTGAATTCTTCCCTTTTCCTCATCCATTTGCTTTCCTCTTTCCAAAGGCTCAATGAAGTATTCATCCTTATCAGTTCTGATCATTCCAGCCTGGCGAGGAAAGAGAGAAAGCATACCAATACGTCAAGAGCCTACAGACTTGGCCTCAGGCTTTAAAAACCAACAAACATCATGGTGAAGTATAAAACAGCGTATTACTGTACTGTAAAAACCAAATGACCACTGGGTTTCTTTTGTGTGGACTTCTGGCCAGGTTCGGTATCCCTCTGCATTCTGAGGATTTTTTGCTGGGCTGCAGTTAATGTTCAAAGGCATTAAGAAAAGTTCTTGTCTATGTATGAGACAGATTTCCCCATCAAAAATGCAACTAAGATCAAAGTCATTTAGGAGTTTATCATTTGTATGTTATACAAAGCTATTTTACCATTTAAGTGTGGCATGCTGAGTACTGCTTACTGCAGCGTCAAGTCCCTAACTCGCATGTATTCTGAACCACTTATACGCTCAGGTCCTTCATTTTATTTCAGTAAAATCAGTAGAAGCCATACAGTTTCATACTTAAACACATACACATTGTTCAGTTGTGTAACTATGTAGCTATTGACAATTCTTTAAAACCCTTTATGTCTTCCTCCTGTGCAGGCTGTGGAATGGGTTCACAGACAAGGCATCTTGATGCTTACTACAATTAAACGCACTGAAATAAGTCACACTGTGACTGTGCAAGTCCAAGGGAAAAGAGACTCATGCGCAGGAGGAAAGAATTCTCTGCTGACACAAGAATATAAATCACAGTAAATAATAGAGAAGAAATCTGGCAATACACTCAAGGAAACAGTCACTTAAAAAACCCTTAGTAAAGGCCTTCAGTTTTGAAACTGCCTGTAAGTATAAGGGCAGCAAGACTATACTCTTTCTGGCACAGCTAGTGCAAGAACATCACACAGGGGATAAATAGGCACAGAATATTTGAAAACAGTGGAAAAAGAAACGCAGTAGTGTATGTATTTAGAGCAATCTGTAACTTATTATCAAGGGCATTCAAATACAAAACATGAACGTTTATGTAAAATGCAGCAGAGGAACCACTAACGATTACTGTGCATCTGACTTTCCTCTATAAAGCGTTCTCCCCTTCTCCCTCTTCATGCAGTATGATCATTTCACTCGCCAACAGCTGAATTGCAAGTATACCAATATAGGGGTGGTTTCCCCCCCCCATAGGCACTTCCCCCCCCACCCCACTAGATCTCTGCAACTTGGATGCCTGTCCTGCCATTACGGGAGAGAGATGGAGAAAACGGGCAGGTGCGCTGCGCGCAGGAGCCGTTATCCCCGCACAACCTCTGCCGAGGCTCCGGCATTGCCCATGTTGGTGGGCGCGAGCCACGTGAGAACGGGGAAGCGCTCCCACAGCCGGCCTACGGTATGGTGCGACTTCTGCAAATGCTCTGTCCTGGAGTCGCAGCTCGTGCTCTGCTCAGCTAAAAGCAAAAGTACGCGAAACCGGCTGCTCTCGCTCCTAAATCACGCTGGTGCGTCCTTCCCATCGGTTATACAGCTGTTAGAGACAGTCTTGTTCCTAATATATGATGTGACTCCGGTAGTACCTTAAGGTAGAGTTGTCATTTGCTACTCTACCATGCAAAGGAAAAGGTTTTTGTGACTTTTTTTTTTTTTTTAAAGTGTTAAAAATCAAATCTGACTGCAGCCAGCCCTGATGGACTTCCTCCAAAAGGTGGAAGCCATGTCAATCTAAAACAAAGCACTTTATCAACAAAATGGCATTCCAATCTTGGCTGCTGTCCCAACAGTTCACTATCAGTTCAGTGATGCATTTCGTTTCCTTAATGAAAACTCATGCGCTGATGAAACTATGGAAGCTAGAGGCTAGACTACGAGTCTAGTTCCTTTGATGCTGCGTAAAGGCTCCCCAGGAAGCCCCAGCTGTGACCAGGGACTCCTGCACAAGGCCTTGTAAGAGCACATTGACAGTGGGGGCCACAGATTTTGGATCTCCGGATCTGAAGGAATGACACAATCCTGATACATATGCAGACTGCCTCGGGGCTCCCCCAGACCAGGAGGGCTAGTTACAGTTGTGATCCCATATTCCAGCTTTGAATGCCATCAAACTCACTGATGACAATGCTACACAGATCCTTTTTGGGAGCAATTGCAGGTTATTATAGCCTAGACCTAAATCATTTGTCAAATACAAGTAGATAGAATTATGAAGGTCTAAGGTAGAGCTTAAAAATTAGTATTTTAATCCAAACATTCAGTCAAAAAAATCACAAATAGTATTTCACCGCTAGCTTTCCCTGCTCCAGCTGTTTTCTTACATCTACTCATCTTTTCAGTTAATATATTTCTTCAAATATTAGTTAAACTACATAAACACAAATACTACATTTTCTCCTTTGTTTTCATTACACAAACAGCAGTAATAACTGAGATTTTTGGCTGGAATAACTCAGGTTAGCAGCACAGATCAGTTTTTCATGTGGCTACTGCACATTATTAGATCGGGAATTAACAAGTGCCTTTGCACGTTAATGGCTGGCTCGCTCGCCATTTTTCTAAGCAAAAGTGAGTTCTGCACCTACAGTCGCTATGTTACTGGTATAAGACCTTATCCTGGCATACAGATTTTGCGTAAATAACCCATTTGCTGTGAAGCTCTTTGCCTATGACTTGAAAGTAGCTCTATGCAAGCAGTGCACCGTGCACAAGTGAAGCTGGGCTCCGTTTCCCAGCTTTAACGCATGTTTTTTCTTTTCTGTGCTAAATCTACAAAGAAGAAAGGAGCTCACAACTGCATTTCTGAGAATGGGCATGCCTTTCTGTGAAAGGCGTCTAAGAACAATTTGCAAGCATCAAATACAATTTCAGCTGCTACAATCCCCCATAAAACACTGTGACAGGCCTAACATATTCCATCCCCCTTAAACTGTAACTCATTAGCTACACCTCAGAAGACTCCTCCTAACTTTACAAATACTGATAACCCTTCCTTATTAATAGCAGACAGAAATAGCTGCTATTTTAAAAGTCTAATTACTAATTAAAAGGACAGTAACCAAAGCGAACACCTCATTTCACCTAATCATGCTAAACTAATCACAAGGTTCCCATGAAAAAAAATGCAAATTTAAGAAGCATAAACATTGAGATAAATGGCATAGATTCAAGGTGACTTGCCATGCAAACACATCTGGCAAAAGAGGCCAGTATCTACATCTACAAAGCATACTCTATCCCAGCTTGTTACTGCCTGGCACGATTACTGCAGCACAGACCAGATTTTTCTTGACAGGATGCACAGCAGTCTCTTTGCCTTGGCTCACAGAGAGCTAATGCAGCATCCGCAATTTAGAATTAACAACGCAACTCTAATCAAGCAGTTTTCATCATTAGAACCACTTCCTTGTTTTCCAGTGCCAAGCTTTCAGTGTGTTCCCAATCTCAGAGCTGATGATAAATTGTTAGAGAACAACTAAAGCAAATGGCAAAGCAGCTGGATCTTAACAGCTCCTTTTCCTTGGTAGATCCCACTTGGGTCAGAGAGTATACCTTATACTGACCTATTTTTTTCCAGCTTTTAGGGCTAATTGTTTATACAGACATAGGGTGCACCGCTACGTTTTCTTCAGCTTTATGGAAGCAGTTAACTCCGCTCATTTCAGTGGATTTAATCTCTTAGGAGGTGCGAGCCCAAAATTGCAAATAAATGTGTCACAAACAATCTCTCAGCAAAATTTGCAAATGGAGCTGAAGGGCTGGACTGCCACCTGGTCATCACCAACACAGGGATCCCGGAGAACTCCGTATCCAGCAGATCCCACGCGAGACCAGCGACCGGACTTTCAGAACAACTAACAACCTCCCTCTGGCGCACCAGTAAACTTGATTAAAAATACACAACCGTCAAATGACTCACATGGGCTGAAGGCAGCGTGCACCGATCCCTTACCAAACACAGCCATGTGCTTTTTGGAGGAACGGTGTTCCCCACATACCCAGGAGAGAAAAGAAGAACCATAGTGGAGACCAGGCAATTGTGGCTTTGAAGTGAAAAGGCCAAACCTAAAGGGCCGAGAGAAGCAAAAAACGTACATGGGTGGAAAAAAGAGCATCAGTTACACTAACAGCAAGATATTCAGTTTTTACTCAGCATGATTTCTCACTTGCTTTCTTCCTCATCCTTTCAACACCTTTCAGCCTTGTTTTACTCTCTGCTTCACTCGCAGAATGGATTTTGCATCACCCGTGTGAAAGTCAACTACACGTCTGTATGCTTTTGAATAATTAATTTGCACCCACTTTTGAGATACTCACCCTTGCTTTGCTTTTACAACAAAACAGTACCAATATTAATATGTTCTGTCTGACGCTCAATACGTAAGAGTCAAAATTAGTAAGGTGGCATTATGTTACAAAGCACATTTTTGAAGGACAATTTTTTTTTTTTTTTAAGTATCCAAATGTGTTTCCTTCTAGTGGAAAACGAAACGTACAATCAACAGGAACAGTTCTGCTCCCTCTTAGCAGCCTACTCTTTCCCTTTTAAAATTTTTTCTAGATTTCAGCAATAAAAAGAACTTGAAGTTTTCCAGATGAAAGGAGAAAGAGGGGCTTGGGTTTATACTGCCCACCCGTAAGCAGTTATCAAATTTTCAATGGAATCATCACCGTAAACTCTACTGCCAACCCAGCATTTTCTTCCCTCACCAGCCAGCAAGAAAAGCAAGCAGGTGTTTAGAGCACACATTTTTAAACGCTCACTTGGAGCGACTTGGAGAGGACTGGAGCAGATTTTCAAGAAAGAAGTATGTAGTGGAAATTTCTTTTTCACAAAAGCACATTTATGAAGCAACACAGGAAGGCATAGTCTGAAATCTTGGAATGCTATTAATTTTACTACTTTTTCTTATAAATTAACAATGTTCAATATTTCCATAAACTGAAGGATGCAGTTTAAATTTGTGCTTCTGTGAAGTTTATCCAGAACTGTCCTCATACGTCTCAAAACATGAAAACAAGAATACAACAAAACTACAAAAAACCAAAAGAATGCTTTGCGGCAC